CCCTTTAATCCCAGGACTTGGGAGGCAGAGGCAGGCGGATCTCTGTGAGTTTGACGCCAGCCTGGTCTCCAGAGTGAGTGCCAGGATATGTACCACAGGACACTGTAAGCAGAAAAAAAAAAAAAAAAAAAAAAAAAAAAAAAAAGAAAAAAAAAAGAATGGGCTCGGACACTAAAATTTTCTATGATGCCAGGCATAGTGGCACCTGTCTTTAATCCCAGCATTCATCCACATCTTCTCTACCTAAAATACCTTAAACCTTATACTTAAAAACAGTCCAAGACCAGCTCACGACTTTCATCCCAGCACTTGGGAGGCAGAGGCACGTGGATCTCTGTTTGATCTACAGAGTGAGTTCCAAGACAACCAGATTTACACAGAGAACCCCACTCTTGAGAACTGGAGAGATGCCTCAGAGGTTAAGAGCTCTGTCTGGTCTTCCAGATGCCCTGAGTTCAATTCCCAGCAACCACATAGTGGCTCACAACCATCCATAATGAGATCCGGTGCCCTCTTCTGGGGTGTAGGCATACATGCCAGAGCACTGCATAAATAATAATGCAACCCTGTCTTGAAAAACAAAAATAGACCATGGCCTATGTGAATTGGGTCCACACACACTGCTCTCTCTCTCTCTTCTCTCTCTCTCTCTCTCTCTCTCTCTCTCTCTCTCTCTCTCTCTCTCTCTGTCTCTTCAACACCTAATCTTATACAGATAAGATCAAAATCTGTTCCTGCAGAAGACCTAGTTTTTATTCCCAGTACCCATATAGTAGATCACAATCATCTGTAACTCCAGTTCCAGGGGATCCAACACCCTCTTCTGACCTTTGTTGGCACATAAATACGTGTAGGTCAAACATTCATACATAAAAAATAAAACTACAAAAAAAATTTTCATGTCAAGTTCACTAAGGCCCAGCTTTCCAGTTCCTTTCCAATCTCATCTCCAGCTCATTCTCTGAAAATACTGTCTAATTCAAGTGTATTTACCCCAACATGCAGACATTATCTAGGTCCTCTATCACTGCCCACGGTGTGAATCTAAAATATCCTGTCCTCTATACCTCTTGAACTCCAATTCATCCTTTATAATTCCACTAAAATGCCTTCTCTCTTTAGCTCTCTTAGCCCCTCCCACAATAAGGAACAGTTGTTCTTTCTCCCACAGGGCCCCTTATTAGTTGTTCCTCTACATACTTTATTTCATTCTCCCTACAGGAATGCTGACTATCTGTTTCATCCAAATTAAGATCCAAAAAGACAAAATATATACTAGTTTCACTTCCCACAACACCTGTACATGGTAACTATTAAATAATGCTTCCTGACAGATAATTGGCCCTAACTTAGTCAATTGCTCCATTAGGCAGCCAGTGGAGCCAGTCAAATAGGACAGTTCCTCTAATTGCAGGCCATATACCTAGCATAAATGGATAGCAAGGGGAAAAAAAACTTAATGCCAAGGGCCTACAACTTCAGGGAGACTGGCAAGCTCACTGTGTTTACACAACCATGATTAAAAAGAAAGGGCAAGAGGGAAGGAGGAGACATAGGAAGACTTAGAGTGCCGTCTTCCTGCCAAGTGAGTTTTTTCTCTGAGTTCACTAAACAGCCTTGTTTCTTAGGGTTATTTGCTGGTCAAAAAGGACAGAAAAGTAACTGAAGTAACTCAGAATCAACAACAGAGAAGTCTCCCAATCCTCTAAGTCACAATATCCACACCATCTGTTTTGATAAAAGTTGCCCCACCTTCTTTAAACAACAGTCCATCTAAAGAATGACTTTCTGCATGTCCTGCAGTTGTGTTTCAGGGGACAAGTCTCAGGGACTGCTTCTCATTAAACAGCTACTTTGAATTTGATCATCCAGCTGTGGCTGCAAGTAGAAAGGTCACTATAATTTAGGGGTAAAAGGAAACGCCACTGTTAGGCCAGTACTTAAGCAGCTTTTACACAAATACTTCCCCTCCTCAACCTTCTGGGTTTTTTTGTTTTCTTTTTGTTTTTTTTTTTTTTCTATCTCCTTTCTCTTTTGGTTTTGTTTGTTTTGGTTTTGGTTTGGTTTTTGAGACGGTTTTTCTCTCCCTGGCTGTCCTGGTCCTCCTCACTGTACAGAGAAGGCTGGACTTAACTCTGACAACCGTCTTGGATTAACCTTCCTAATACTGGGCTTACAGGTTCACTCCATCACATCTGGCTTAGCACCTCAAATCTTAGGCTTACCTGATTTTCAGATCTAGAACTTTTAGCATCTTGATACTCAACATAAAGATGAAAAAAACAACAAACAAAAGACAAGAAAGAGAAATGCAAATGCTTATTTAATACATATTTGGCAAAAGAGTCATTTGGCCAAACTCAAACACTTTATTTTACTAACCAATTTCAACTACTATCAAGAACAGATGCACGCTCAGGTACGAGACTGCAATACTTGAAGGCATTACACTACATCCTTCTGCTTTACCCCACCAACCTTCCTTCCCACTTTCAAATCTACAACTACTGAAGAAAATGAGAAGAAAAAAAAATCAATGTGATTCTCCCACACCTCCTTAGGATCACACTGAAAGTACTTCAGGCTAGCCAGGCAGTGGTGGCACATGCCTTTAGTCCCAGCACTCGGGAGGCAGAGGCAGGCGGATCTCTGTGAGTTCAAGACCAGCCTGGTCTACAAGAACATTTCCAGAAAAGGTTCCAAAAGCCACAGAGAAACCCTGTCTCAAAACCACCCCTCACCCAAAAAAAAAAGAAAAGAAAGAAAATACTTCTTGTTGGTTCTACTAGAGATGGAGCTACCTTAGCTTACCTTAGCTTGGCAGCCACAACTTCCTAGAAGTACATGTTTCAACCTTCTTTTGATCCTTAACATATTTGTGATTTAAGAAGACCACCAGAAAGAGCTGATTTTGTTCACTATCTAGTCACTTTGGCCTTGAAACAAAAATATACACAGTTTCCAGGCACACCTTTAGTCCCAGAACTTGGCAGGCAGAGGAAGGAGGATCTCTGAGTTCGAGGCCAGCATGATCTACAAAGAGAATTCCAGGACAGCCAGTACTATTACACAGAAAAACCATCTCAAAAACACACACACACACACACACACACACAAGTATACAGTTAAGCACTCTAGTCAAATATTTTCCCAACTTATTAAACCACATGAAAACTATAACCAAAATAGTTTTGTTTTAATGAAGCTATATACTTAGACATTTTAAATTACTGCTTAAAACATTTACAAAAGTTTTTTGTAACTGTCTTCGCACACTATTCCATATAAGCAGAAAGAAAAATTAGGTGTTTTATAGTCAGTGACACCTCTTTTTTTCTCACAAAAATAAAGGATGTGGTTTTGCTTGATTCTTAGACACAAAACATTTTATGATGGTTTCCAAAAACTGAATTTACCCATTAAAAATGAAAATTGCTACCTCTGAGGATACTCAAAAGATTGTCTAGGGGCTAGAGCTAGCATGCTATGGGTTCAATTTTGAGCACTGCTATTAAAAAAAGAAGGTAAGAGGGGTTGGAGAGATGGCTCAGAGGTTAAGAGTGCCAGCTGCTCTTCCAGAGATCCTGAGTTCAATTCCCAGCAACCACATGGTGGCTCACAACCATCCATTATGAGATTTGGTGCCCTCTTCGGGTGTGCAGATATACACGGAAACAGAATGTTATATACATAATAAAATCTTTAAAAAAAAAAAAGGAAGATAAGAAAGGAAGGAAGGTAGTTCTTTCTGAACAACAACTGCATACTAGAATAAATGTAAAGGCTGAGAACACCATTACTTTGGGGGAGATAAACTTACAAAAATGGAGGGGACAAAATATGTACATGTCACCATTATTAAAACAAAAATTTAGCTTTTGACAAGATGGTGCCAAAAGCAAAGAAGTAAGGTTCAGACCCTCCAAAAACCTATGTCAAAGGGAAGGCCTTAAAAGCCAAGAAGGCCACTGGTGGTCGTGCAAGCCTTTACTCCCAGCACTTGGAAGGTAAAAAAGCAGGTGGATCTCTGTGGGTTCAAGGCCAGTCTGGCCTACAAAGTAAGTTCCAGGACAGCCAGGACTGTTATACAGAGAACTCCTGTATTTAAACAAAAAAAAGAAGAAGAAGAAAAAAAAAAAAAAAAAGCCAGGAAGGTAGTGCTGAAAGGTATCCAGTCAAAAAGATCCTCAAGTCACCCACTTTCTGGTAGCCCAAGACCCTGAAGCTCCAGAGGCAGCCCAAGCCCAAAACCTTCACAAGAGCACACCCAAAAGAAACCAGCCTGACCACTATGCCATCATCAAGTTCCCCCCAATCCCTGAGTCAGCCATGAAGAAGACAAAAGACACCAACACACTTACATTATTGTGGATGTCAATACACAGGGTTTTTTTTTTTTTCAAATTAAAAAATTAAAATTATATTAATTTTGAATCTGGAAAAACTCTCCAAGACTACACAACCCAAGCTGTCTATTTTTAGTTATGAGGAAACTCTAGTCCACTGTAGTTAGGCAAGTGGTCCCTGGTCACACTACTAATTACCAAGAGTATGAAAACCCAGATATACTGACTCCCTGCAAAAAAAAAAAAAAAGCACACGCTTATCTACACAGTTCCCCCTTTTCAGCTTTTCACTGTCCTTTCCTTCTGTGGCCAAAGGGATGGGAGCTAACACAGGACAGTAAAGCACACAGAGAATGGCTCTAAAACCCAGAGGCTGAGAAGCAACATGTTTGAGACCAGAACCTTTCTACAATGACTCCAACAAGCACGAGCCTATGTTTAGTGTCTGGCTCACAAGACTTCTAGGCAAACTACCACACAGCAGGGCCAGTGAAAAACTTCTGGACATTCTTCCCACCTGCTATAATGACCTATTTCAAGATTGACATCTTGAAGAGCCTAGATCAGAGGAAAAGTAACAGAGAAGTTGGGCAAAAAAAAAAAAAAGCAGATCCATATAAAAGCAGAGAAAGGATAAGAACCATCTTGACTTACCTTCTGGTAGACAGCCCCCGTAAGCATGAGCAGTAATCTGCAGCAGTCTGAACTTGAACTTCCCTCTATTCAAGGACAGGGCAAAGGAATGAGAATGCTGTTCATTCCCATATCCTAACCACTGTTAGGCAGCTCAGGTTCCCATCATCCCAGGCAGCCCTGGAGTTCTGTGATCACAGGGTGACCAGAAGGGAAGCAATGAGGGCCGGCCACTGGGATGAGTCAATGACAGAGCAGGAAGAGTCACTGGGCAGAAATACAGGCCTCCTGCAGCAAGAATGCCAAACCACACCCCCACTGGGTCAGCATTTAGGAGGCCCTACCATGTGAGGATTAGAGTGTCTAAACCAGGAAAAATCCCTCAGGAGTCTCTACACCACTCTCCTTTATAAACATGTCTCTCTGGCTTAAAAACCTTGCAATATTTTTTCTCAAACATCAGATCTAAATTCTCTGGCTGAAGTTTCCAAGTCCACTCTATGGCCTATAGCCACTTAGCCACCCTTTCTTTCCACTATTCTAGAGTAGACTGGAATTCATCCAGCCAGTCTTCTCATATCTCTGTGTATAATCCTGGAGCTGTCTCATTCTCCTGCCTTCAGCTGTTCAAGAGGCACAAACAAACCTTCAAGCATAAGGCAAGTCACAGGAATGAATGTTCCAGTGAGCCACATGGCAAAATGAGGGAGCACTGCCCCTCCAAAAGGCATTCAACTATTTACACAGTATTTTACTGTGAACATCACAATAACCTTGTAAATAATTTTTAGTAGTCTTTCTGTTTTGCAAGTGAGGAAATTTCCCCAAGGTCAAGCAGCTGGCACAATGCTGGCAACAGTTTCCTAGACCTGTATGAAGCCTAAGCAAAAATTCTATACCATTAGGCTTCGTGGTAGAAAAGTACAAACATCAGAGAACCATCATTCATATTTCATGATATAAAGCCTAAATGGTATGGTGGGGAGCCCAAATCACAGCTTATTTAAGTAAGCATAATCCATGTACTTCTAATTCTGACCCTTTTTTAAACTCCATCTTCCTGTCAAAGTTTTTCCTAGTTATTTCCAAGGGCTACTGAAGGGATCTCACAATCCCTATAGGGTTTACAGATTGGACAACACAATCAAGTCTAAATTATATACTGCTTTGCAAAATTGTACTTTGTTTTTCTATGTTTTAGATTCAGCTTCCTTAACAAACCATCAGATATAGTTCCTTCAAGTTTAAAAAAAAAAAATTTTTTTTTTTGATAGTCCTGTCTTGCTACGTAGTTAGACCAAGCTGGTCTCAAACTCAGACATGCACCTGCCTCTAACACCTAAACGTTGGGATTAAAGGCATGCACCACCACACCAGGCTCTAAATTGTATCTTATGTTTTGGTTGGCTTTGCTTTTGAGATAGCATCTCATCATACAGCCTGAACCCTGGAACTTGCTGTATAATCCAGGCTGGTCTCAAACTCATGATACTCCTTCCTTAGCCTCCCAAGTGCTGGGATTACAGTCATAGGTTCAAAGGACATGTTAAGGTCATACTGCATCCACCTTGCCACAAGACACCAAAAACTTAACAACCTGAAAAATATCTCTGGCAAGACACAGGAAGGCATTCAATTGGTCAGGTATTTGTGCTGGAATATATGCAGTCTTATTCCTTACCAGACAAACCAGTCTGCAACTACAATAAGCAGAAGAAATCTCTAAGGCTGAGTCACTGGCATTTCCTGCACTGACTACAAAGAAACTGGCCCTTAAATAGGACAGAAGAAAAGGCAACATGACATAGATGCCCAAGAGGAGCCTAAATTCTGGAGCATGCTGTGCTCTAATGCCCCCTCTTCCTTCTACAACCATTAGAGAATTCTGCTTCTGCCAAGTGGTCCCTTACTAGAATGACTGACTACTTAATAGCCAACCCATAATCTCCGTTCTCTCCTCCCAATCAATGGCAGCCAAGCTACTGCCATTTCCAAATAGCTACTCCCCAGTTTATGAGAGGGAAGGGTAAAGAAATAGTTCCTGAAAACCTCCACTAATCCTGGCAAGATCTACAGCATTTTGTACAAGGGAGCTTGATTCTCAAACCTACCATGCTTAGCATTTTACTAAAGAGTCAGAATGAGGGAGCTGGAGAGAGATGGCTCAGAAGTTAAGAGCACTGGCTGCTCTTCCATAGACTAAATTCAACTCCTAGCACCCATATTGCAGCTAACAACTACAGTTCCAGGGGAGCCAATGCCCATTCCTGGCCTCCATATGCACTGTGCTCATAGCACACAAACATATGTGCAAAAACATAAAAAAATAAAAAGCACACAATGTCAAAAACAGAGACTACCTGTCATGTAATAGACTAGAAAGACATTTATGGCCCTCTCAAGAGAAAACAAAACCAGAGCTAAAGTGTGGCAGTTAGAAACTGAGCAGCAGTGGAGCATGGCATTGATCCCAGCACTCCGGAGGCAGAGGCAGGGGAATCTCTGAGGCTAGCTTGGTCTACAAAGTGAGTTCCAGGATAGTCAGGCAGGCCTAAATGGAGAAACCCTGTCTCAAAGAAAGAAAAAAAGAAAAAAAAAAAAAATAGCAGTTATAAGAAGACAGATTGTGGTTTAACACAGAGAAGAATTTTGAGCATACTATGTATGTTGAAAATATGAGCCCCACCAACATTCCATCATAAATGGGGGAAGGAGTTCATGAGGCTCCATCCCTCCCTGAGGAGCTATATGCAGTGACAGATATTGGGGAGAAGGAATCATATTCTTCAGTGATGTAGGTACTAATAAGCTGCTCTTGCTCAAGTAAATAATATCCCCAAGATCATGCAAGCAATACTAATTAAATATAGTGAGTCTGTCTGTCTATCTCTCACACACACACGAACACGAGAGAGACAGAGACAGAGAGACATAAAAGTAGGAGGTGAAACTGCCGGGAAGAAGAGGTTCAGCAGGAGTAAGAGGAATAAGAGGATAGTAGGGAGAATTTGATCAAAGTATATTTTATATATACACACAAAATTAAGAAATAATAAAGTATACAGCTATTTAATAAGAACAAAACAAACAAGTTGAATGTGGTGGTAAACACCTTTAATCCCAGCACTCAGGAGGATCTCTGGGAGTTCTAGGCCAGCCTGGTCTACAAAGCAAGCTCCAAGACAGCCAGAACTGTCACAGAGAAACCCAGTCTCAAAATAAAGAAGGGTGGGATGTAGATTTGTAGGTCAGGAAATTAGAAAGGGGACCGATCATGAAACTGGATGAAGAAATCTTTTTGGTTTTTGTTGGTATTGTTTTCTTTTGGGTTGGTTTTTTTTTTTTATTTTTTATTTGGGGGGGGCAGGGGGACAGGTTCCACTGTGTAGCACTAGCTGCCCTGGAACTCACTCTGTAGACCAGGCTGGCCTGAACTCAGAGAGATCGACCTGCCTCTGCCTCCCAAGTGCTGGGATCAAAAGTGTGAGCCACCATTCCGGCTGAAAATAATGTTTCAAAGTGCTGGGGATGCAGCTCAATGGAAGAGCACACATAATACCCTAGGTTAAATGCAGGATACAAAAGTCAAGTGGCACATAGGTATAATCCCAACAGGGTGAAGCTGAGGCAAAAGGAGGACTGTGAGTTTGAAGCCAACATGTGCAACATAGCAAGACATGACTCAAAAAAAAAAAAAAAAAAAAAAAAAAAAAAAAAAAAAGAGGAAAAAGGTGGAAAGCTCAGTGGTTAACAGCACTTGCTTCTCTTGCAGAGGACCTTTTCAGTTCCTAGCACCACATCACTACCACTCAGCTCACAACAGCTTCAAAGTCTACTTCCAGGGGGTCCAGCACCCTGTTCTGGCCTCATGGTGCACATACACATACTCAAACAGACACACACATTTAAAAAAATCTTTAAAAGTGGAAACATGCTGGAGAGATGGCTCAGAGTTTAAGAGCACTGGCTGTTCTTCCAGAGGTCCTGAGTTCAATTCCCAGCAACCACATGGTGGCTCACAACCATCTATTATGAGATCTGGTGCCCCCTTCTGGTGTGCAGATATACATGGAAGCAGAATGTTGTATACATAATAAATAAATAATCTCATGTTAAAAAAAAAAAAAGAAAGGGAGCTGGAAAAAAAAAGTGGAAACAAACTCAGAATGATGGGATTAGATACCAACTCAATTATTTACAGATTACTTGAACAGATGTCCTAATCCATCTATGACTCAATTTTCTTCCTTATAAAAGGGAAAGGTAGGGGCTGGAGAGATGGCTCAGAGGTTAAGAGCACCGACTGCTCTTCCAGAGGTCCTGAGTTCAATTCCCAGCAACCAGATGGTGGCTCACAACCATCCGTTATGAGATCTGGTGCCCTCTTCTGGTGTGCAGATATACATGGAAGCAGAATGTTGTATAAATAATAAATAAATAAAATCTTTTAAAAAAAAGAAATATAAAAAAGAGAATGGTAATAATAATACTAGAATTTAACTTATTTATCTTTGGGAAGTAGATTATATAAAGTACTTAGAATGGTGCCTGGTTCACATGATATGCTGGGGGAGGAGTGTAAGCTATTGCTATTACAACTGTAAGCTATTGCTAATCCAAACCACCAGAAAATCCACCACTAAATTATGATGTTCAGAAATACAGTAAACATCCTTCTAGACCAAGCCATTTATTACTGGCTCTCAGTTTCATGACCACCTGTTGGGCTCTAGTTTCCGTTTTTGTTTTTTGAGACAAGGTTTCTCTGTGTGTATCTCTAGCGGTCCTGGAACTTGCTCTGTAGACCAGGCTGGCTTTGAACTCAAGAGATCGGCCTACCTATCTCCCTAGTGCTGGAACTAAAGGGTGTGCCACCATACCTGGTTCTTTTCTGTCCTTTGAGCTCAGTTTATCTATGTGTCAGTTTGGGTCTAGTCAGCAAAACAGAAATCACATGCCAGTTATTTTAAGGATGAACTCAATATAGGAAATAGTTTTCAGTCTTTGTTGGAAGGCTTAACAAGCCAAAAGAATCTAAAGACAGTAGTTTTGGGATATTAACTGTATGAAGTAGCTTCCTCATCCAGAACTGAGAACAAAGTAAGTATCAAACTCAAGAAGTCTTGGGGAATATGGGACAGTTGTACCCAGATTCTCTGGAGAGTGTATGTTGCCTGGTTGCCAATGATTTCTTGGGTGCTCCCAGAGGTCCCTGGAGAAATCAGGCTTAGTGCAATCCTGCCCAGCTGACACAGAGGCCACTGAGGTACACTGCAAGGTTGGTTCTAGGAGTTAGAAAGAAACAGAGTAACTGATGGAACAAACTGCTATCACCAAGAAAATCTAAGCCACAGTAAGGAAGAAGTTCCTTGTACACTCCTTTTGCTTCCCAATTTTCCTTAAAACCTCCCCCCCCCAACTTATCAGAGATGGAGCTAACTGGTAAAAGTAGAATGGAAATTGGTGGTGCTCCAGCCCTAGCATCAGAAAGCAAGAGACCAAGCCAGGTGATAGTGGCAAACACCTTTAATACCAGCACTAGGAAGACAGAGGCAGGCAGATCTCTGAGTTCAAGGCTAGCCCTGTCTACATGGAGGGGGGACAGGAATGGGAGGAACAC